TTTTTTTTTTTTTTTTTTTTTGGTTTTTCGAGACAGGGTTTCTCTGTGTAGCTTTTGAGCCTAACCTGGCACTCGCTCTGGAGACCAGGCTGGCCTCGAACTCACAGAGATCCGCCTGCCTCTGCCTCCCGAGTGCTGGGATTAAAGGCGTGCGCCACCAATGCCTGGCTTTCTTCTCAGCCTTTTAAGTGTCTCCTCCCTCCTCCCCACCTGTGGCCACCTCCTTTGAGTCTTACCTCCCCTCTGCACTGCTCTGAGAGTCCTCTGGGGAAGGAGTGGAGGGCCTGGTGCTGGGAGACTCCCTGCCCTGGTTACGATAGAGGGCCAGGAGCTCCCTCTTCTGTTGAACGTACTCCTCAGCCTTCAGCTTTTGCAGAGTGGCCTGGGGAGGGACTTTCGTTATTATGAGCTCTCATGTATTGAGCACTTGCTGTATGCTATGGTGTCTTTATTTTTACAGTAAGGGAGCACAGTGGTGCCAAGATGTGGTGGCACCAAGCTGCAGAGCTGGTGCTGGAGGTGATGGGGGTGGACAGGAAGTCCCCTGACCTCTGTCATGTGCCTGCTTTTCACACCTCCAGGGAGGCCCTTGGGTGCTCCTCTTTTAGGAGCTCTCCTTGACTGGGATGAGGTCCTGCAAGGACTCTGAACCATACAGGTCCTCAGGTTGCTCTTTTGGACACATTCTTCTCCCATCACCTTGGCCTCCATCTTGAAGGTGGGAGGAGCGGGAGTATTCATGTCCTAGGCTGAGGACACTTCTGTCCCTTAGATGGGTGTGAAAGCAAAGCTGTCCCAAGATGGAAGAGAAGGCGACACATGTCTGTGTTCCTTCTTCAGAGTTTTCACACAGAATAAAGCAGTGACAGCTGAGAGATGGCTTGCAAAGTACCTCCATATGCATAGGGCGCTTTGTCGCACACCTTCACCCTACAGTATGGGAAGCGTGGCCACGAGCGCATTTCACAGCTGCAAAGACTAGACTCAGATGCAGCTACTGGCCAAGGAGGCAAGTGCAGAGGAGAGCTGGGTGAGTAGACTCTAAGTCCTAGCTCAGTGACTGCAGGCTTTGCAAAGGCAGCCTTGTGGGGCCCTGAGTTACCACAGGAGGATAGTGTTGGGGGAGACAGCAGAGCCAAAGGGCACACAGGGTGGATGGTAGGAGGAGGCTTGGGGTGAGGGTAGAGGTGGCTGCCATGGGCAGGTGGGCATCAGTATTCATAGGTGTGGCTAAGAAAATACTCGAGGGCTTCCTAGCTGGTAAAGAAAGGCTGGACATGATCCCAGCATTTGGAAAATAGTGGATCCACCTGAGGCAGGTGGATCTCTGAGTTCAAGGCCAGCCTAGTCTACATAGAGAGTTCCAGGCCAGCCAGAACTATACAGTGAGACCCCATCTCAGAAAGCAAGCAAGCAGGAAGGAAGAAAAAAAGGATGGAAGGAAGGAAGAAAAGGAAAGGAAGAAGGAAGGGTTGTAGCTGGAGTTGTCTATCTTCTCCTCCCCAGGCACCCCCACCATACAATGCAGCTGCGAAGGGTCTGCACCTGGCATAGAGTAGGGACCTTAAGTGCCCCCCCCCCCATACAATGCTCTGTTGTGACTGATGCTAGGCTAACCGGGTGGCTTCATATTTGTGCTTTCTCATTAGTTAGGGAAATCTGAGCCAGCAACCCTGGGATTCCTAGGCTTCTCCAAAGCTTCTGTAGGAGCACGGGGGTGGCCGGGTCAGGACGAGACATGTTGGAGGAGTTGGGCAGGACTAGGAACATGGTATCAAGTGGATAGTTCTAACTCCCCTTCCCTGGCTTCCCGGTTACTGAACCAGAACAGAGGATGAGACCTGGGGGCAGAAGCTAGCACACCGGGCCAGTTCCTATGCCCCTCTTCCCCAGGTTTCATCTTTCAGCTCAGTGTCAAGTGGGGAAAGGTACAAGCAAGGCGAAGGGGCTGCACAGCTTGCTCCACAGGCTCCAGAGTTTGCGATAGGATGTGATGGGATGGCAAGGACAGGGCTGTCTGTAGTGTGGAAGGAAAGAGTGAGAAGAAAAGAGGGGAGTCTTTAAGGGACATCAGTGCCAGTGTCTCCACTAAGCTTGCTCCCCAGGAAGAGGAGGGGTCAGGGGGTCCAGGGGGTCGTAGGCAGTAGAGCACAGGGCTTCCAGCTGCCTCAAAGCCTCAGCAGCTACAAGTGAGCAGTATAGGAGAAAAAGAGCTAGTGTGTGGTGCCCCACAAAGCTGAAGAAAGAGGTGGCTCCTCAGCATGATTCCTGTGGAGAATCCCCAAGACAGAGTGCCCCCTCTCTCTGCAGCTCCTTGGGCACCACATTCACTGTCTCCCAGTATTGGATGATGAGGGGTCTTTAAATGGTGCCCCTCGCCTCTCTGAGCCACCACACCAGTGCCTTCTTCCAGCTCCACAGCCCCTGCCATCCCTGTCTCCTCCTCCTCTCTTTGCCTTTCTCCCTCCTCCCTCTTTCTCTTCTTTGTTTTGTGACACCAGGTCTTTCTATGCTGCTCAGATCCAGAACTTGCTGTATAGCCCAGGCTAACCCTGAACTCATGATCCTTCTGTCTCAGCTTTCTGGGTGCTGGGATTATAGGAGAGCTCAGCTATCTTACCCTTTCCTATAAGCAGAACAATGACACTCACTTGTGGAGCAGCACAGAGTGCAGGGCCTCACACTTGCTTGCTGGCTATCACTGTCCCCTCCCAGACGAAGGTCAGGCTGAAGAAGGGGAGGAACTTGTCAGTTACACAGAGTGGGCTCCAGACTCTTGCTTCTTAGTCTTCGGTCGGCCCCACTTTCTTGGCCTCTAGCTCTGCGGCTTCTTTTTGTTCCCCTCATC